CTGCGCGCGAGAAAGACGCTCACCTTTTTCTAGAACGAGGAGGATATGCAGCCACTTGGACACCGTTCTCTGCACCAGCTCCACGTCCATGCTATGGAGGGAGCATTTCCTCCACTCCCGGAAGAGCGTCAGCCACTCTTCGTGCGACTCCCACAGGATTCGCCTCAGCGTCAGGTCCCACTCGATGTCCGCCACCTCCGAGAGCACGATGCGGGCAATCTCCTCCACGTTCAGACAGAGCATGTGCGACTGGCCGTCGTCGAAGTGGTCCTGGTAGCTCGAGTACAGCTGGGCCTTGTGGGCCAGGCCCGCGGCCTCCTCCGCGAGGCCCTGGATCATCTCCATCGCCGTGGCCGCCCGGGTGCGCGCGCACAGCAGCACCGGGGTCCTTATCTGAGAAGCGCAGCGAGACCTTCTCAGCGGCCGGCCGGGGTTAGATTCGCGCGCTTCGCTCTACATCCCCGGCCCCACCGCTGTCGGTGACCTACATTCGGAGAAAATTCTAGGCACAGAGGTTACTGAAAATGGAGATGCAGTCTTATTTCCCATTCAAGTCCACAAATTGCCAAATTCTGTCTATGGATACGGATAAAAATATTTAAGACGAAAAGCCAGGCATGGCGGCTCACGCCTGACTCCGAGCCATTCGGTCCTGGTTTGAAGCTTTCCCGGAGAGCAGTTCCCAGACCTCCTCTCAACAGGACCACAGTGGGAAATGGACCTACAAGTGTGGTCTAGTTTGGTCCAGGCAAAAGCAAGATCTTAAAGGGTTGAAGGTGCGGCTCCAGTGGTGGAGTGCCTGCCTAGCAAACCGCCTTAGCACCACCGCACCGGCAAGGGAGGCTCACGCCGGCATCCCAGCTACTCGGGAGGCTGAGGCTGGAGGGTCACGGTTCCAAGCCACTGCGGCAGGAAAGGCACCAAAAGAACCCGAGGTAGAGCTGTGGCTCAAGGGCAGAGCGCCACGCTTGAGCAAAAAGCTAAGGGACCCTGCGTGCCAGCTCAAAAAAAAAAAAAATTAGCCACGACTCTACAGACAGAAAATATCCATACGCAGGGGACCGAGAAAGGTTTTCATAAGAAAAGTGGGAAACACTTACTTTAGCTTTTAAATCACTAACATCCACCCGTAAGCCAGTGATGTACGCTTCCAAGTTGTTCCTGAACTTGTTGACTGTTGAGTATCTGTTTGTTGCACTCAGCTTCAGAGATGTTTTCAGTTGGGCAAACTTCATAGAAAGAAGTTTAGATAGGGCTTTTTGTTCTTCTGTAATATCAATTTGGTGATACTTCACAACAGAATATAGCTGAGAAATTGTCAAGTACTCTTTTTCTAATTTAGATATTTCTAAGGACATTTCCTCCAAGAAAGTGAAGTGGTCCACAAATTCTTCTATTTCGGTGGGATCTCGGTCTAGCTTTTGTAATGATGATTCCACAACCTGAAATCATCCACATGTTCATTATAATTACGACGACTTTTCCTGGAGCGCTGTTTTGTAATTTCTCTTTTATAAATATAATTTAAAAATAAAGATATCACCTCAACATAATTCTAAGTATTATTTAAGTTCCAAAGCACTAACACAATCCAACCCTTCTATTGTTAACTGCACTTGAATAAATCTCATATCTGAAATCAATGCTATTGAAACTTAAAAGAAGTTCTGTGAATAATGTTTCGTGATTGCTGAGGCTACCACTTTGTAAGGATTTATGATCTAGATTCTTCAGTGTATGATCTCACTTAATGTCAGTTTTTGTGTGGACTTGTATTTATTTCTCACGTGTAAATAATGAAAATTAGGATTGACAGGTCAAGTAGGAAGTGAATGTTTCAAAGTAATTGCCATGTCAGATGCCAGTGGCTTACCTTATAATCCTAGCTACTTAGTAGGATCCTAGTTCAAAGCCAGCCTAAGCAGGAAAAGTCCATGAGACTCTCATCTCCAATTAACCATCAAAAAAGCCAGAAGTTGAGCGAGGAGGGGAGACAGCGCCAAGTGGTCCTAACAGTAGAGCACTGGCTCTGAGCACAAGAGCTCAGGGACAGCGTCCAGGCCCTGAGCTGAAGTCCCACAAAAAGCAAAACAGCAACAAGTAACTGTCAGTGTGTTAAGGTTACAATGCCACTTTTTCAGTCTTGTGGGATGTCTGAGAATTCAACCCTCATTTTCACTGTATTTGATTCTGGTGCCCTGAATCTTGCCTATACATTTTTCTAATTTGGGGAGGGGAAGGGAAATAAAATGCTGAAATAAGGATACAGGTTGGCCCATTATAACAATGAGGTGTACAAGACACTATGTTGAAAACGAACTTTACAATTTTGGAGGCGGAAGGAGCAGATGGAGAGGTGGGGAGGGAAGAGATGGTAGGGGAAAAAAACAAAGGAGGAGGTAACAACACTCGATAGGAAATGTACTTGTTACCTTACTCATGTAACTGTAACCCCTCTGTACAGTATTTTTACAATAAAAAAAGAAAATTCTACTTCCTTGGCATCCTTGTTAGCAGTTGGCACTGCCATTCTTCTTACTTTTAGCTGTTTTGGTGGATATGAAGCAGGTTCTTGCTATAGTTTGACTGTGTAAAGACTGTCGTAAAATTCTAGTCTAGACCACCAGACAATCATGAACCCTCATCAAAATCTCTGAAGTTTTCCCTCCCTCTCCAAGCTCTCTTTCCTTTTCCACAACCCGCCACCCCCCTTGTCTTTTGAGACAGAATATTCCTATGAATCCTAGGCTGGCCTTCAATTCTTCTTCCCTTCTTTTCTTTTCTTTTCTTTCCTTCCTTCCTTTTTCTTTCTTTCTTTCTTCTTTTTTTTTTGGTCAGTCATGGGGCTTGAACTCTGGACCTGGGTGCTGTCCCTGAGCTCTTCAGCTCAAGGATTAGCACACTACCACTTAAACCACAGCCCCACTTCCAGTTTTTTTTGTGGACTATTAGAGATAAGAGTTTCATGGCTTTTCCTGCCTGGGCTGGCTTTGAATCGTGATCCTCAGATCTCAGCCTCCTGAGTAGCTGGGATGACAGATGTAGCCACTGGTACTCGACTCTTCCTCCCTTTCTAAAAGGACTCTGCCCTGAAAATTTCATCCATCTTCTCCCTCCAAGCAGACATCTCTCATTTGTTTATCTTATTTCAAAGGCAATACTCTTTCACTCTGTTATTCAACATCTGAAAGTATTTCATGTATTAAGGTTTTGGTTTTTCATGGAAAGAGTCTAGTCTGCATTTCTTCATCATGGTTGCTTGGAAGTTCCCCCCCCCCCCATATAGTTAAATCCAAATGGACAAGATGGACATCCTGGCAGTAAACAAGTTGTATGATACAGAACTAAAAGTATGAAATGGTCTCACAGCAGACTTATAGTTGGTAAAGGTGTAGAGCTGTATTACTGAAACCTATCATTTCTTGAGGAGGGGATTGTTAGGAAACATACAATTTTTAGGTTTATTTCAAAAGACTGGGGAAATGATGACGATAAATACAACCTCTTACAGAGCAAAATTAATGGATACATTCCTAGATGCATTTGCCCTACCAAAACTGAACCAAGGAGGATATAAACCTCTTAAAGAGAATCAGTAATAAAGCCTCCCAGCAGAAAAAAATGTAGGACCTAATGGATCCTCTACTGATTCTACCTTCCCTTTTCAAGCAGACCATCAGGGTGGTGCATAGTGATGCATGGATCAGGAGGACTGTATTTCAAAGCCAGCCAGGTCAGAAGTTAATGAAACCCATCTCAACCCATAAGCCAAGTGAGGTGGGAGGTGTGTGCTTGTAATCCCAGCAGGAGGAATGAAGTCTGATGTGGGCCCAGGCAAAACTTAAGTTCCTATCCGAAAAATAACCAAAACCAAAAGGGCTACAGGTGTGGCTCAAGGAGCAGTACACCTGTCTAGCAAGCAATGAGTTCAAACCCCACTACCACCAAAAAAACCCAAAACCAAAAAAAACGAAATACTTACTTCCAAGAGATTTGCATTCTTTTTCTCAATAACAGATCTTAAGAGGTTACTGCTTGTGTGTATGACATTGTCAACATATGGTAAGCATTCTGACTGAAAATTCAAACTAACAACGTTGAAAATACCAATGCGTTTTTCAATAGCCATAGTTACAATATGTCGAAAGTAGGTTCTGAATTTACGCAGTACAATTTTAAACTCTGTAGAATTTAAATGTCTAACAGATGATATTTTCATATTCATGATTTTGGCCTTCTCTACCATGGTGCAAAATTTTAGAAACTTGAAGCTGTAAATGCTAACTAGGCCCATTGAATTACCGATAATAGTCAGGAGACTCACAATCTGCAAATAAAAATATTAAAAAGTTAGAATTTTTATTATAAGAATGAATAATGGTATAGACTTGTAAGTTAATAGTGTCTTAAAATTAAGCAAGATTTTTATGCGGAGCTCATTCAGAATCAATTAAATATCAAGATATGTTGAAAGGTAAGATTAAGAAAATTAACTAACCCTTTCTAAGATTTTGATTTTATGGAAAGGCCTACTGAGCCCTAAACTTTGCAGTTAATAGGCTTGTTTCGAAGCACATTCCCTTGCCAGATCTCTCTGCCATCCTCAGAAAGGCCCATTCGATACCTTATCTAACTCACTCAATTCCTAATTTGGATAGGGTAGAATCCTGACCCAGCTAGGCTAATTATATTCTCTTGTTAATTTGGGGAAAATACGTAGTTTGGCAGTGATGGAAGAGTGGGGGGAGCTAGTACTGTGAGGGACACCTAAAGGAGAAAGCTCATTTCACGGGGGAAATGAGAAGACACTGCAGAAGGCAGGGTGGGAAGTGTGAGAAGACAGAAAGAAGCTGGGGCTGGTTTTCCAGCTGCTGTCGATGTTACTGGTAATTCTTCAACAAACCATTTTACATAAGCACTTCAGTGGCACTCTGTTCCCTCAGCTAAGATGTTTCTAAACTTACTTTATTTTGATAGACAGGATCTGTTTCAAAAAGAATCTGAGAATCTGGCCAGCTGGTCTCCTTTAAGTTCATAGTACTTTTGACGTTAGGTGATTCCGTAATTGAACTTATGTCAATAAAGTTAGACAGGCGAGGATCTTGGTGAAAAGGGGTAATTGAAGCTAAAATAGATAATTCAAAAATCAGTATTTTCAGAAGTCCCATTGAAAGCCACACTTTAACATTATCCATGCTCTCTAGAACTACTGAAAATTGAAGCTGCTTTATTATGAGGGATAGACAATATTCTACACTGACAGACAGACACAATTTAAAAATAAATGTAAAGCCTTGATTCAAATATCACAGAATAAGGGAAAGCAAAGGAAGAATGACATTGACCAAGAAGCACTGTACTCATAACCTGAATTTTGGAATTATAACCCCTTTATACAACACCTCAATAACAACAATAAATACCATAAAAACAGAGGTAATATTTGTAGTTAACCAGGTGATAGGGTGCATGATTAAACACTGAGAACAAACCCTCCAGTTAGGCAGCATTTTAGACATATCTGCTATGTGACGAGTATTATGCCACGATGAGTGTTCAAAGATTCGCGCATGCAACCTCAACAGTGCAGAAGCACAGCTCCGTCAGACATCTAGCTATCCACAGGCCAAGACAACATAAACACTCTGCCCTTTATTTACACAAAGTCACTGTGAATCCTACTCCTAAAAGTGAAATACAAATCTGTAAATTGTCTAAGAGAAAACCAGTATAGACTGAGTTAGGCACCATTCTTAGATATAAAACCAAAAAAGCACAATCCATAAGAGAAAAAAAATTGATGGGCTGTGCTCTATAAAAATTTAGTTTAGTTCTCAGAAGGAAAATGGTAAGATGAGGCACAGATTGGGAGAAAATGTTTGCAAATCAGGTATTTGATAGAGGACTTGGTCCATAGAACATATAAAGAACACAACTAATCAATAAATAGACCATCATCCAAACTTCTAAAAATAGGCAAAAAACAAATCCCAAAGAAGATATTTTACAAAAGAAGATATATAAACAGCTTATTAGGAGAAGAAAATGTGAGTAACATTGCCAATTACTAGTGAAAAAGTAATTGCCACAATGAAGTATCAGTTAAACTATCAGAACAGCCACTTCAAAAAAAAAAAAAGACAAAATGAACACCTGGAAGCTGAAACATGATTTTCTGGGGGTAGGGTCAAGGGGGAGGGGCCGATCAATGGAGAGGGAAAGAGTGGTGAACAGGTCATCACGTGCAGCCTGTGGGCGTGCAAGGGACTGGGAAACAGTCGAGGGGTAGCACTGACCAAGACGCAGTGCACTCATCACCGACTTGTGGAGTTGAAACCCCTTTATATACCTCCTTAACAATAATAGTAACAACAACAACAATATATTCCCCCAAATGACTGACAGTTATAAAACTGAACCCAGGGGCTGGGAAGGTGGCTCAGTGGTAGAGCGCCTGCCTTGCATGCATGAGGCCCTGGGTTCGATTCCTCAGCACCACATAAGCAGAAAATGTTGGAAGTGGTGCTGTAGCTCAAGTGGTAGGGCGCTAGCCTTGAGCTGAAGAGCTGAGGGACAGCGCCCAGGCCCAGAGTTCAAGCCCCATGACTTAAAAACAAACAAACAAACCACCTAAACCCAGAATGTAAATGTTTTGGTATATAAGTTTTAGAAAGTTAGCCAAGGTATTGGAAGAACTCAAGATGAAAAATAGATTGTGACAAATTAATCTAATGAACTATGTAACTTCTCCGACAGGAGAGAGTGAGAAAGAAAGGCGTTTGCCTACGCGACTTTAGAAACAGCATTTAGACTACAAACTGTAAGCTGAGCTGATGAGGAAGAAGGAAAAGGCGATGGTGAACTAAGCAGAAGGAAGAGGGGAGGGAGGCCAGAGGAAGCAGGGAAGACAGAGAGGGAAAGGAAAAGAAAGGAGAGCAGATAGGGATGAGGAAACGGAAAAGATGAAAGGGGGTGAAGGCATCAGAGGAAGTGGAAGGCTAAGAGCAAAGAAAAGCTAGAGTAGGAAAACGAGGGGAGAAGATGAAGGGAAAATGGGGAAAGAAAAGGAGAAACAAGACATGGATTTGTGTCTCACGGGTTTCTGTAGTCATTATACATTATTTCAAAACTATAGCAAACTAAATTTCTGATTACATCAGCCAGATGTTTTCACGGTAGGAGAAAGTTACATATAAAGAGGGCTAGAATGACTCCTGAGGTATTGAATTGGGGCAGGATGTATCAGTACAAATGCATGCGTTTCAGGTAAGAGTAATACATAAATCATAGTGGTACAGCATATCTTAGAGCCCTGGGTTCCATCTCTAGCACCACAAAGAAATATATTTGTATAATGAAATTATACAAATTAGATTAGATTAAATTAGATTAGAAATATATTTGCATAATGTTACAAGCTCACCCCTAAAACTTATTAGTTATAAGAGCACAGTAAATTCATAGTGGAGAAATTTGGTAGACACTGCCCTTAACCAAGCTGTCACAGAGCTATCCTTAAAAAGATGTATCAGAGCCTGGTGCCAGTAACTCATGCCTATAATCCTAGCTACTCAGGAGGCTGAGATCTGAGGCTGAGATCACAGTTCAAAGACAGCCCAGAAATCTCTCTCCTATGAAGTTCTTATCTCAAATTAACCACCAGAAAAGTGGAAGTGGAGCTGTTGCTCAAAGTGGTAGAGCACTAGCCCTGAGCAAAAGAGCTCAGGGACCGCGCCCAGGCCCTGAGTTCAAGCCCCACGACTGACAGAATGACCGACAGAAAATAAAAATTAAAAAAAAAAAAGTTATACCAGCACCACAGCCACCTAATGTGATGCAGGAAGAAGAACAAACAACCACTGAAGAGTTATTTCTCCAAATGTACAACTTTCAACTTATTAAACCCCTGACAAAACTGTTGGTCTACAGAATAATGAGTCAGGACACTTCCATAAGTAGAACTGACAGATTTATACAAGAGAAGCAATTTACAGTGGCATCAGATGTCCCATCTTTAACTCTGAAAACTAGAAAGCAGTGGAACAAGTCTATGAACTGTTGGGGGAAAGAAACTAAGAAACCACAGCTGTTTGTAATGTCTTCAAATATGTAACACTACTGAATGTTCACATCTCTGGATTTTGCTCAGCTACTTGATTCATAATGGATTCTGTAGGCATTACTAAAACTTAGTATTTCTCCATTTGCATGTTTCATTTAAATATAATGCAGAATTTAAAATAAGCATAAGCTTTCAAATGACATAACATATTCCTATTTCAATAAATTCTGTAGTGTATAACTGAAAATTTCAAGCCTTGAGTTATTTTCCTAACTCCAGTAGTTTATACACTCTATGTGCATAATTCATCCTCCTTCAAATAATTCCAAGTTCACATTAAGATCTCAAACACTGTGAATGCATGACCTGCTAACACTCTGTGCCTGTCATACCACTGGCTAGTAGCTTCAGGTGCTCGAATTTAAGAAAATATTGCTCAAAATATACTAAACATTTTAACTACTTACTTATACAATTTTCAATATTAGCTATCAAATTTTGAATTTTTATTGAAAACTCCAATCGGTTAGGCTGTATAAAGAGATTTGTAGGAAATTCTGGAACTCTAGAGAGAAAATAAAAGAAAGTGTAGTTTAGGATAATACAGTGACTTAAAAAAATACAATTGCTTGTAATGTAAAAAAAAGTCTAATACTTACTCATACATGTGTTTATTCTCATATGCTGTTGTGACATCGGTGTTTATTGGAATCCATTGGAAAAAAGAATAAAGAATTCAGTGAGATTTATAACTGCTACATAACTACTTGATATATGACAAGGCTCTCCCAACACACGATAAACAAACTGCCGTGGTTATGTGAAAGGCAATACTCAAGCATCTCTAGGTCCTGAGAAAGGTGGTTTAACAGAGGAAAGAGTGTGCCTTTCTTTCTTCTTTTTTGTGTTTTGGGTGAAACCCAGGTCTTACGCATGCTGGCTACTCTCCTAACCCAAGAGTCTAAACACCTGACAGATTTCTAGGTGGCGTCATTCTCATGAAGAGGGTCATCAAATCCTTTTCCCAAGTGAGAAACTGTATGTGTACAGAAACGTGTAATATAGCTTCAGGTGTTTTAACTTAATAAAGACTGTCAAATGTTCATTAAGCTTCTTATTTATACAATGTCCAATATTAGCTAACAAATTTTGAAATTTTATTTAAAACTTCAATCTGTGGGATTTTACAAAAAGATTTGTAGGAAAATTACATTCACATATGCCACAAATAATTCTGTAAGTTTATTGCTCACTTTTAGTACTGTTTACCTTAAAATTTGTAAAAATCAATGAATATATAGTATGTAAACTGTTGAAAGTTTTTCTCACCTATCATTTTCCAGATCTTAAAATATTTCTCTTCAGTTTTAATAATCTCATCATCTTACCTGAAGGAGCAGGTTCAAGGCTGGCATCAAGTGTTTTAAGTTTATTGGCTTCTAGGAGCAGGTCTGCACTTGAACAACTTTTGACTACATTTTCTCCTTCTTCTGACATTTCATCGTCTTCACATACCATACAGTGGTCAAATCCATCAACATTCTCTGCAATATTTTCTGAAGAATCACTCTCAGGAATTCTCAAGCACAGATTTACTTCAAATACTGGTGCACACATCTTTCTCAAATCCTTCTCTACTTTACTGCTACTCACAATCTAATGTAACAGAAATATTAGCACACCAGTGACAGTATAAAACTCATACAATGTGTAATTTAGGATAATAAATTTAAACAGCAAATTATAACTACACTTATAAGTTAAAGTAAGTGAACTGTGAAACAAATGTCAATGAGAAATTTGAGGTAGGTGTCATAGATTTTTACAACAGAATAAATGTATGTATAGATGTGCACATGTGTATATGTGCAGATGTGTGCATAAAGTGTGTACAGCTGATCAAAGAACTGTTGTAATCATGAATCATATTTTTAACTCCAAAATTTATTATCCATCTTAGATTTTTAATCTATAGTTATTTTTAAGAACATCTTACCTTGTTAATATCAGTATCTACCTTCACTCCTAATTCTTGAACAGAATTTGAGTCAAAGAGTTCTTCACTATTTGTCATCTTTATTGTGGAGGAATAAAAGTCATCTTTCAATGTTCTAGGTTGAAAAACAGGAGGAAGTAATCTTTTAAAATCATGTATCTAATTAATATAAGAAGTATACCGCTTGCCTTGCATGCATGAGGCCCTGGGTTCGATTCCTCAGCACCACATAAGCAGAAAAAAAAGCCGGAAGTGGCGCTGTGGCTCAAGTGGTAGAGCACTAGCCTTGAGCTGAAGAGCTGAGGGACAGCGCCCAGGCCCAGAGTTCAGGCCCCACGACCGGACCCAACCCCCCCCCCAAAAATATAAAGAACTTCTATAACTCAAGGACAAAAACAGTTATAATGTTTAAAAAATATCTGAATGGACCTTTTTTCCAAAGTAAAAATGGGTAATAAGTACAAGAAAAGATGATTAACAGTGGCGCCGTAGCTCAAGTGGTAGAGCGCTCGCCTTTAGTTGAAGAGCTGAGGGACAACGCCCAGGCCCAGAGTTCAAACCCCATGACCAACAACAACAAAAAAAAAGATGATTAACATCACTAATCATTTGGAAATACAAATGAAAACCATAATGAGGTATTACAATTAGAGGTATTATTATTATTACTACTAATGAGGCATTACTATTAGAATGGCTATTATTGAAAAGAAAACTAAAGTCTCAGAAAATAATACATGTTGGAGAGAGCATCAGAGTTTGGCTGTACTGCTGGATGAAGAGGGCACAATCTTGTGAAAAGGAAGGACGTTTCCTCAAAAAGCTGCACGTGGTTCTCGAGAGGCTAGCATCAGGAGGGTTGTGTTTCAAGGCTTATAATCATGTCATGAAGTAAAAGAAATCTTGGGATGGTAGCATGCGCCCATGGATCCTAGCTAAGTAGTGAGTCATAAATAGGGGATTGCAGTCCAAGTCACTCTAGGCAAAAAGGAAGACAGACTCTATTTGAAAAAATGGAAAAAAGGGCTGAGAGCATAGCTCAAGTTGTAGAGCACCCACCTAACAAGTGCAAAGCCTAGAGCTCAAACTCCAGATGAACTAAAGATAAAAATGCCAGATGTGAGCCAGGCACAGTAGCTCATGTTTGTAATAGTAGCTAACATTAGCTACTTAGAGTCAGAAATGGAAGAATTGTGGGTCAAGGCCAGCCTAGGCAAAAGCCAGTAAGATCCCCTCCCACTCAATGGAAGGCTGGTGGTTACCCAGCAATCACAGAGTGTAAACAGGAGGGCTGGAGTCTGGAAAGGAGTGCAAGACCCTATATTACAGAAATGGGTCAGGGCAGGGCTCCGCTGCCTGACAAGCGCAAGGCTCTGAGCTCACAGCTCAGCAAAGTGGAGACACGGAACTGTCCTGAGATCTAGCCTAGGTATGTGTGTGCCCAAAGATATTATAAGCCAGAACCAAGGAGGCATGTACACACACATATTCATAGCAACATTATTCACAATAGCTAAAAGGTGAAAATAACCCAAATGTTTTCCAACAGATCAGTAGATAAATACAGTATGCTATGTATAGGTAATAGAATATTATCTTATTATCTTGAAAAGGAAAGAAATTCTGATACATGCTTCAACGTAGATGAACCTTGAAGATACTATGCCGAGTGAAATAATGATACAAAGGACAAATCTTTTATGATTCCATTTATATGAGGTACACAGAATAGAGGGAGGAAAATATTGTAGAATTATTGTTAATGGGTACAGAACTTCAGTTCAAGGGGAAAAAATGGAATGGATAGTGATTATGGTTACACAATGTTATGAAGGTACTTAATGCTACCAAATCAAACCTTAAAATTGTTACATTGATATATATTGTTATGTATCTTTTAGCCTAAGAAAAAATAGCCAATGATGCTGGCCACCAGGTGGCTCACGCCTGTAATCCTAGCTACACTAGCTACTCAGGAGGCTGAGATGTGAGGATCGCAGTTCAAAGCCAGCCCAGGGCAACAAAGTCAGTGAGAATCTTATCTCCCAATAAACCACTCAGAAAACCAGAAGTGGCGCTGTGGCTCAAGTGGTAGAGCGCTAGCCTTGAGCTGAAGAGCTGCAGGACAGCGCCCAGGCCCAGAGTTCAAGTTCCATGACCAAATTAATTAATTAATTAATTAAATAAAAATAAATATTAAAAATTGCCAACGAAACCCTCTACATTGAACAATTGATATTTTCTAATAAAAATGTGGGAAAAATTGCATCTCATTTCAGTGGAATCAGGAAAAGAATATAACACTATTTTCTAAGTTCTATTTGGGGAAAGGGATAGTAAACAAAAGAGACTGAAAAGTATGGAAAACAAATATATATTCAAGGGAATTTTCAAGCACTGGTGGCTCACACCTGTCATCCTAGCTCCTCAGGAGACCAAGAGCTCAGGATTTTGGTTTGAACCAGAGCTAGCCCTGCTGGGAGAATCTACACACAAACATGATGGTTACTCACCATTGCAAACTGACTCTGTCTCTGCTTCCTGGCCACTATGGTGTGACCACTCTGCCCCACAACACACATCTGACCATGATCGACTGAGCCCTCTGAAACCTAGTTAAGGTAAATGCTTTCTCCATCAGGTGTTTGAAAATCCGAAAACTGAGGCCAGACAAGTCAGGTCATTGTAACTAAAATACCCTTGTGACTATCAGGCCTTTGCCTCAGGTGAGCTGCAAAGGAAGAATTTACAGGCGAAAATTGGAAGGGCTTGGAGGTAAGGGCTATTGAAACTCGAGGATACTGTAAGTACAGCATAATAGACAGTTCAGGTAGGAACACAGAAGGCCAAAAGCTGATTTAGAAAACTATCGACAATGAAGACTGCCACTTGTGAGGCTTCAGGGCCTTGCTGAGGGTCAGACGCCCCTTGTGTTGCACTATGCCAAAGAACATGTCTATATTTTGTTTGTGTCCTAAAACCTTGTGGGAGGCTGTGCTTAAAGGCAGTGGACTAATAAACCAAATAATATATTAGCACACATACAGGATTATATGCTATAATATACAAAGTATTGATATTTATCCCAAGAATGTAAGGCTAGATCAACTAATAAAAATGTACACACGTAATATATTAACATAATATATACTTATGTGAATAGACACAGAAAAAAAGCATCTGACAACAATTCAACCCCATTTCATGAGTAAAAAGACATCCAACAAACTAAAGATAGAAGTGAACTTCCTCAACTGATACAAAGCACCTGTGAAAGGCTCCTAGCTAATATAAAATAAAGAACAAGATACAGATACTCAGTCTCACCACTGCTAACATTGTACTGCATAATATGCCAGTTAGGGTAATGAGGGAACAAAAACAAATAAAAGATGTCAGTTTGGAAAGGAAGGAATAAAATTGTATTTTCAGGTGATATGCAGAAAGCAAACAAGTCATTCAAACTAGTAAGTTCAACAAGGTGTCTGAGGACAAGGTCAATATAGTTAAACTAGTTTTATTCCCAAACAAACAATGATTATCCTAAAATTTAAAAATAACTCGGGCTGGGAAGGTGGCTCAGTGGTAGAGCGCTTGCCTCACATGCCTGAGGCCCTGGGTTCGATTCCTCAGCACCACATAAGCAGAAAAAAAAAGCCGGAAGTGGCATTGTGATTCAAGTGGTAGAGCGCTAGCCTTGAGCTGAAGAGCTGAGGCCCAGAGTTCAGGCCCCCCAACCGGACCTCCCCCCCACACCACAAAAATAACTCCATTCGGAGGAGGCAACAATGCTCAATAGGGAATGTACTCATTACCTTGCTCATATAACTGTAACCCCTCTGTACAGCATTTTTACAATAAAAAAGTAGAAAAAATTTAAAAAATAAAAATAACTCCATTCACAATAAAATAAAAAATAAAATACTTATAATAAAAGTAACAAACTAAGGCATGCACACTAGAAGTAGGGAATGTCTCTGAAAGCAATGAAAGACTCCCTAACTGGAGAGAGACATCCCATGTTCATGGGTGGGAAGACTGCACCATTCCGATGCGCATGCTCCCAGCACTCAGCGCACTCACCATCAAGACTGCAGCTGTTGCTAGACGCTATTTCTAACTGGTGGCAGTTTGGACATATTGTACTACTTCAATTAATATTCATGTTCCACAAGTTAATAGTGGCTACTTTCATGCTTTGTTTGGTAATAGTATTATTTATAATAGCAGTATTTAATAGCCTGATCTCTAATTAACCAGAAAAAAACCAGAAGAAGAGCTGTAGCTCAAGTGGTAGAGTTTTATACTAGAGCAAAAAAAGCTAAAGGATAGCACCCAGGACCTGACTCCAAGCCTCAGTACTGGCACAATAAACAAATAAATAATCAAAATATTTTCAAAGACTTTCTTAGCTGAGGAAAATATCCAATAGACATCTCTTAGAACTAAGGCAAGTTCCAGTGGAACTTGCAGCTCACATATCTATAAGAATTGGTTCTGAACTTTAAAGATACAGTATATCAATACAAGGATTGCCACATTGAACAAATGAAAATACAGGGCACTCAGTGAAATTTCTGGTTTATCTGAAATTCAGAAATTCAAATAATTTTAGCATTGGTAATGTTTGGAACATATTTATATATAGAAATTATTTGTTATCTGAAATTCTGGTTTCTCTGGGCATCTTGTATTTTTTACAACAACTATATCTATGTCAAATGTAAAGGAAAATGGGGATTACTTTCTTAAATTTCATGGAAAATATTAAATTATTAGTAATTAATAAGCTCAAAGAATTTCAAAAATAAATATATCTGTTACAAGGGGGATTTTCACATTCTAGCTTTATTTAATTTATGGGACCCTCTCTCTATTTTATTACCTGATGAGATTTTCATTCTTTTTTTCCACTGAGAAAGGCACTCTATCAGAATTACTGAATAATTCCAAAAGTTGAGTGACTGCAATGTTCGTAAGCTGACGAATGAGCTCCTGAAATATGTAGTCAACCAGGACCAAAAACCTCCGGTTTGTTTCTAATAAGCGCCGAAGCTTAGGCAGCTTGAAATGTGATGTGTCAGGAGTAGACAGCTTTTCCTCAAAATATTCTTTTATGTCTTCCTTCTCTGAAACCTACAATTTGAAGACATGATGAAATCATGATTTGTAGTTTACAAGATTTTATTAGCCTGAATAATATAGCAGGACTAGACTTTATCAACAACTTTCATTCAAATTTTACTTCTGGAGAAGAGTGAGGCTGAAATCAGAAAAGCAATTCCTTTTGTAAATAGCCTCAAAAAAATACCTAGGAATTAACTTAACCAAAGAGGTGGAGGGCCTCTGTATTAAAAAAAAAAACTTTAAAAACTTGTAAAAGGAAATTAAAGCAGATTTAAGGAAGTGGAGAAACCTCCCATGCTCCTGGATTGGGAGGATTAATATAGTGAAAATGGCAATACTGTCATAAGCTACCTACAAATTCAATGCAACACCCATCAATATCTCAACAACATTCTTTAATAGTAGAATTCCAAAAATTCAAATGGAATAATAGAAGACCCCAAATAGCAAAAACAATCCTCAGCATGAAAAACAGTGCCAGAGGAATATCAAGACCAAACTTGAAACTCTATTATAAAGCCATACACACACACACACACACACACACACACACACACACACACGGCAGCTTGTTACTGGCACATGAACAGGACTGAAGACACAGAAAAGGATTCCACACACCTACAGCCACCTAATCTTTAATAAGGAAGCTAAAATCATCAGATGGAAGAATAGCAGAATTGGCTAGCCACATGTAGAAAACTGAAGTTAGATCCTTATATAACACCCTGAACCAGACTCAACTTGATACCCTGAAACTACCCTAGGAAGAGATTGAGGGAGGGGATATACTATGGCTCCTTGGTACAGGTCAAAACTTCCTAAATAAAGATCCAGAAACACAACAAATGAAAGAAAGACTGTATAAATGGGATTGCATTCAACTGTAGAACTTCTGCATGGAAAAAGGACATAGCTAGCCAGATCAATAGAAAGCCCACAGATTGGGAGAAGATCTTCACTAGCCATACAATAGGCAAGGGCCTCATATCTAAAATATACTTAGAACTCAAAGGAACAACTGCCGCATTAACAAGTGAGCTAAAGAATTGAAAAGAGATGTCTCTGGAGAAGAATAGCCAGTAGACACATGATGACATGTTCAACAAACATCTCTGGCCATAAAAGAAATGCAATTCAAAACAACATCAAGATTTCACCTCACCCCAGTTAGAATGGCCATTATCAAGAAAACAAATAACAGATGTTGGCAGGGATGTGGCCAAAAAGGACTGCTACCACACCGTTGGTGGGAATGTAAACTGGTTTAACAACTCTGGAAAGCAGTATGGAGGTTCCTCAAAAGACTATACGTAGAGGTCCTCTGTGACCCAGCAATCCCACTTCTGGGCATTTACCCAAATGATCACAAAAAGGCCACACCAAAGCTACCAGCACAACTATATTCACTGTAGCATTATTCACCATGGCTAAGACATGGAACCAACCCAGATGCCCCTCAATAGATGAATGGATCAAGAAAATGTGATACACAACACGCGTGCGCGTGCGCGCGCGCGCGCACACACACACACACACACACACAGTGGAAGTCTATGCATCTATCAGAAAAAAACAACATCACCCCACATACGTAAGGAAATGGAAAGACTTGGGGAAAAAAATCATATTAAGTGAAGTAAACCAAACTCGAAGAAACATAGGCTCCATGGTTTCCCTCATTTGTAATAATTAGTATGTCTAGCATAGTCCTAGCAGAGGATCGATAGCTCAATAGCCATATCAAATGATGGTAATCAAAATGAACTTCAAGATATGCAAACAAGAGGTGTTGTTTTTTTTAATGTACTATGTGAAGTTATTTCTTTTTTCTTTCTTTCCTCCCCCCTTTGGTTTATTCCATTGTCACTGTTTTTTATTTTGGTGCCCTGTGTCTTGTATATATATTTGTCTGATTTGGGGATAGGAAGAGGAATCACAAAATGGTGAGAAAAAGGACAAAGGGTGAACCAATGCAACAGTGATCCTCACAAGATACTATGTTAGAAATGAACTTTACAACTTGGGAGGGAAGAGTTGGGGGGAGGGGAGGTAAAGTGGGAGAAAAAACTAGAGGGGGGTAACACTGTTTGACAATATGTAACTGTAGCTCCTCTGTACATCACATCTACAATAACATTAAATTTAAAAAATAAAATGAAAGAAAAAATTTACTTCTGAAGTTTGCAAGTTCATGCCTCACTTCAAGGAATTGACTCAAGTTTGGGAAGTCACACAAAGAAGTACGTATTAGTGACCAGTATATACAATAAGAATGTGTCAAAGACATCATTTATTATCTTCTTTATAAAATCCTTTGTAAAGTTTTATTTTATCTAGTTGTGTTTTTCCTGAGCAATAGATTTTTCTTTATCTTATGAATGCTGTAAACTTTATTATTAGTATAGTTTCCCTTTACATTGCCAGCTCAAGATAGATTCTATGCTTTAAGGTTCATGTATAAATATACATATATAGGTATTCAGACATATATCAACAAATACATACATATTTCTTTGCATATTCTGTAACATTTTGGAAAGTTCTATTTTTTCTTTTGCCAGTCCTGGTACTTGAACTCTGAGCCTGGTCACTGTCCCTGAGTTTCTTTTGCTTAAGGTGAGCACTCTACCACAGTGGAGCCACAGCTCCACTTTCGATTTTTTTTGAGTAGTTTATTGGAGATAAGGGTCTCACAGACTTTCTTGCCTGGACTGGCTTTGAACCATGATCCTCAGATAACCTCCTGAGTAGCTGACAGCCACGAGCCACCAGCACCAGGCTAAAAAGTTCTTATACATACTACATAGGTAGTATCAGTTGGTCAGTCAACTGCCCTTTCTGTCCAATTGCCCATTTCCCAAGGAAACAATTTGGAGTACTGCTTCAGGCAGTACATAGTAAGAGTTACCTTTAAGATTGTGCTTCTTATCTTTAAAATGGATTTATCCTTGATGACCTCCAGTTGTTTCAGAGCCCGCACACCTTGCTGCAACTGCTCTTCATAAAATTCATCAAGAGAGTATGTTTGAGAACGATCCAGCTAGTTACATGAGAGTAAATACTGAGTGTCGGAAAATAAAAATTCATTCATAAAAATTAGATATTTGGTTGTCTTTTCAGGTTATTTACAAGGGCACACTTTATAATTTCTCCTTTAAATGCTTAATGCTTTATATACTATATGGCTTACATGTTATTCAAATTTAAATAGCCATAGTTAAATCTACCTAAACATCGATACAAAGAGAGAAAAACACATTTTTGAAATCATAACCATGATTAAGCTGAAGATATTTTAAGTATGTCGAAAAACCTACAATCCTAGAAATTACTTTTACTTTTGAAATTCCAAATATTTATCAAAACATAAACATGAAATGCAGGATAGAGGCTAAACATTAAATAATAAAGAATAAGATAAAATTTACTCATAATTAATTCTGGATCCAGTATAGAGGATTTGTATCAAACATGCCATTAATTCTTTGGGGTAACATCGGAAAAGAACGTTTCATCTATCATACAATTGCTACCATTCTTCCTCCCTTCATTCAGTATTTTCTTCTTTTTCCTATAGTGAAATTCTTTTGCTGCATTCTCATCAATAAACATGCAGACCTCTGCATCTCTAGGTATACTGATAATAATAATTAAATATATAGTCCCCAAGCAAACAAGACCAAACAGCCCTCCTCTCACTCAGCATTTGGATTTACTAGTTCTCCTTCTCCTGGCCTCACAGCTCAACACTAGGCCCTGATTTTCCCAATAAAACACGTCTCAAAATCTTTCTTCTTCTTTGCTCGTACCACCAATGTTATAATTCAGTCCCTTGTGAATTATATTTACACCTGCATTGTTTTAGTAGTGTAATGATTCCCTCAGTATCTCTTTATTTACAATGTTTTCCCTCAAACAACATGTTTAGAAACGTCTAGTTATTATTCTTTAAAAATAGCTACTCAGGAGGCTGAGATCTGAGGATCTCAGTTTGAAGCCAGTCTGGGCAGGAAAGTCCCTGAGACTCTTTTTTTTTTTGGGGGGGGGTCTGGTCGTGGGGCCTGAACTCTGGGTCTGAGCGCTGTCCCTCAGCTCTTCAGCTCAAGGCTAGTGCTCTACCACTTGAGCCACAGCACCACTTCCAGTTTTATTCTTTTTTGCTTATGTGGTGCCGAGGAATCGAACCCAGGCCTCATGCATGCAAGGCAAGCGCTCTACTACTGAGCCACCTTCCCAGCCCCTCCCTGAGACTCTTATCTTAAATTAAGCACCACAACAAAGGCAGAAGTAGAGTTGTGGCTCAAGTAGTAGGGTACCAGCCTTGAGTGAAAAAGCTCAGGGACAGGACCCAGGCCCTAAGTTCAAGCCCCAAGATCAGAAAAAAAAAAAAAGTTTGGAAATTCACCCCATGTAAGAATCAACTGAGGAATTTGTTAACAGGGGTGGGGGGGAGGTCGGTCGTGTGGGGCTGAACTCTGGGTCTGGGCGCTGTCCCTCAGCTCTACCACTTGAGCCATAGCGCCACTTCCGGCTTTTTCTGCTTATGTGGTACTGAAGAATCAAACCCAAGGCCTCATGCGTTCAAGGCAAGCACTCTACCACTGAGCCACCTTCCCAGCCTGACTAACTTCACTTCTGGCTACAAAAAATGATCCTGTGTCATTGCTGTACCTTATTCTGAGAATCTGGGTAGGTGGTGACCTGTAAAATGCATGTTGTTCAGTTGAAAGGGAAATTTGGATAAAATGAGCAAATATGGGTTAACGGTGTGCTTTTGCACATAGGAGGCGAAGGGTTGGGGACAGTGAATTTGAGGCTGGCTAACCTTGTCTCTTTCCTCCAGGAAAGAGAGTGTTTTGGTACACTCACAATGCCATCCGTGGTGTTTACTGTAAGACCTCATCCTTCATTAACTTGCTGCCTGTTTATCTCCTCACCTGCTCCATCCCGCCCTGTAGCCTTCCAGTTCTCATGAACAAGTTGCCCCTTACTGACTCCTCATCCCAGGCTGTGTTTTCCTAACTACACATCTCCGCCCTTCCTATACCTGACCTGGCTTTTCCTTAAATCTCAGAAACTTCAATTCTTGCTTACTAAGATGGCCTCTATCCTTTGGGGGAGACTTGGATCCTGTTTTCCCCTTATTCTGTTACTGAGGGCCTAACATTCATGACCCAATCTGACTTTCAAATCAGACATATGGCTTGTTTGTTTTTCTGAGTTTCTATACCAGTGCTGGTATATGGTGATATCCTTCTACTCACCTTCACAAAACACACCACAGGTGGCTTATCCTTACGTTTTTTATTATTATTGAAATTCATTGCATCTTCACAAAGTCCCTTTATATGTAGTAAACAGTCTTGGAAAAACTCATCAGCGAAAAAGAGATGTTTATACAAAAATATCCTAAAAGTTAAAATTTTTCAGACATATTTCATTCCAAATACAGAAAATGTATCTAGAGGTAACTAGTAGAGTTTATTTCACATAGAGGCAAGCTGGCACTGTGCAGAAAACACTCCTGTAACCCTCTCCTGTTACGCAGACCACACGTTAGATAATGCGATTAAGTAAGCACTGGAAGGTGTTGCATGCAATGCTCTGGGTGCGGGGTATGTTGAGTAAAAAAGCAAAACAGAAGAGAAAACACACAGTATTATTCTGTTATGCTGTGGAAGTCTAATAATTTTGTGATACCAAACAGTTATATAAAATAAATTATATGCTTTCAATTTACAAAGTAATAGCTGAAAACTTCCAAAATTGGGCAAAAGACAATCATAGACCATGAGCCCCATTAGACCATGAGGCTAAGGGAACTCAAAATAGAGACAAACAAAGACATATCAACATTGTCAAACTTCTGCAAACTAAAAAAATGTTGAAAAGACAATGCTAAGAAAGCAGCCTGGGTAGCGTGTAGTTTCATCAAAAATGTGTGCGGCAACGGCATACCATGATGACATTTGGTGGCTGGAGATATGCTTGCGTGGGAGAACGCCACTCCCAAGCCAGCCATGGCATCAAACCTGGCATCGCTTTCATAGTACACTTATATAGCTTTCCTTTCAGTATCTTTGGTACCACTATTGGGGCTTGAACTCATGGTTGGGTATGCTGTCCCTTGACTTTTTCAGGCTGGTGCCTGAAAAAGTAGAGCCACAGCTCTACTTCTGGCTTTATAGTGGTTAACTGGAGAGAAGAGTCTCATGGGCTTTCCTGCCCAAGCTGGCTTCAAACCTTGGTCCTTAGATCTCAGTCTCTTGGCTAGCTAGGATTTCAGGTGTGAGGCAATGGTGCATAGGTACATATAAAATTTGTATAAATTTGGGCTGGGAAGGTGGGTCAGTGGTAGAGCGCTTGCCTTGCATGCCTGAGGCCCTGGGTTCGATTCCTCAGCACCACATAAGCAAAAAGAAAAAAGCCGGAAGTGGCGCTGTGGCTCAGGTGGTAGAGCGCTAGCCTTGAGCTGAAGAGCTGAGGGATAGTGCCCAGGCCCAGAGTTCAGGCCCCAAGACCAGACCCCCCCAAAAAATTGTATAAATTTATTGCATATCAAGACTTACTTGCTCGTCTCTGTCTTAATTCTCCTAACATTCACTTTCCAGGTAACAAAAGCCTTATTAATTCTGAAAGGAAAAACACTTCTTACATTCTATGTTTACAAATCATATTTTTATACAGAATTTAGTAAGAGCTTAACAGTAGTATAAAATTCCTTACAATATGTTTCACTTATCCCAAAGGCATTAAAATAAATATTAAATGATATAAATTTTCTACCAAACTGTCAACAGAATATACGGTAAGAGATAAATGCACTTGAAAATCAGACACAGAGTTTACTTAGCTGCAACATACTAGTAAGTATCAAAATCTCTAAGTTTATTACTTTCCCTTATACAGTAATTGGCTTACTATTTTGAAAGCTAACTTTTAGACCAAGAATAGTCAAAACCCAATTTTCAGTGACAATGAAATAGTAACTGATAAATAAAAATCTTTGTAGAGTACTGAATAAATATTAAGATGGTATATGTCATTTTGATATTTTATCATACTTACAAAACACAGATTCATGTGCCGTCTTAAAGAACTCAAAAGAACCACATGAAAGAGTGCTGATAGGTTTCTTTGGTGATTATTTATGTTCCATAATAGGTGAAGTAGACATGCCCCTCTCTGATCTGTTGCCCAGACTCCTACTTTGTACCCTCGAGGTCTAACTGACTAACCCTCAACCCCCCTTCCCTGGGGTCACTGCCTCTTGAAGAAATGGTAACCGTTGTGACTTTTACATTCTTAGGTAGCAGGGGAAAGCCACTGAGGAAGGGACGCAAATGCCCAGGGATCCAGGTGGATGGTCAGTCTTGGCCACAGCCCTGGCGTTATCTAAGCAGTCCAAGGCCATCTCAGGTATTCTTTAGAGGCCTGAGCAATCAGTCACCTCACACAGATCTAGCAACCGCACTCCACATGAGCAGCCTTCCAATGACATTTCACAGGAGTCCACACCCTCTATGCCAGTTCCTCAGGAATCTAGAAAACCCCTCACTGACCCTGCAGCGGGCCCTTGCACCAGCCATGCACCAGTCCACAGAACACAAACAGCGCTCTGCACCAGGCACAGAAGCCAGCCCATCAGAACAGCCTGAAGCAGCCACACAGACCAAGCCCCGCCAGCTCTGGACCAGGCGCACACACCAGTCCACCACAGAGGGGCATGCCAGCCACGCACTGCATTTTACGAGAAAGGGTCTCATCAGGCACGCACACCAGTCCAGCCAGAAACTGCACCAGCCACAACATGGTCCAAAAGAAAACTGTCCACCAGACAAACACATCAGTGTAACTCAGACAGACCAATAAAGACACAAAACCTGTGCACCAGCCACACATACTGACCACTAGAAACTCCTAAACCAGGCATGCATGCCATTTCACCAGCAAGCTCTGCATGAACTACCCAACTAATTCATCAGAAAGCTCTGCACCAGACACATAGAATCTACCTCAAAGTTCTACATTAAGTGAATGTATGAGTTCACCAGAAAATTCACCAACAGCCACACACCAGTCAGCCAGAAAGCTCTGCTCCAGGCACACACAAAGCCCACCAGAAGCCAGATTCCAGTGGCTCACTCCTGTAATCCTAGCTACTCAGAAAGCTGAGACCTGAGATCATGGTTTAAAGCCAGCCCAGAAAAACACATCTCTGACACTTATCTACAGTTATTATACCAGCAACAAGCCAGAAGTGGAGGCGTGGCTCAAGTGGGAAGTGCTAGAAACAAACAAAAACTTGGGTAAGAGTGCAAGGCCTCCAGTTCAAGTTTTTGTACCCCAGTAACAAAAAAAAAAGACAGGATGAAGGCATAACCCAAGAGGTAGAATTCCAGCCAGGCAAACAAGTTGAAGAACTCCAGGGCCCTGACTTCTTCAAACCCTGGTACCAACAAAAAACATTTCTAAATTAAGTCCGCCAAAAAGCTCTACACAAACCACACACACCAGTGTGCCAGAAACAGAAATACCAGCACACAACACAACCTGATCCATCACAGGGCTCTGTGCAAAGCAACAAACAAAAGTCCACCAAACTAATGTCCAAAGGGCTCTCCAAAGACACTTATCAGCACCCCCAACACCAGCCAACCACAAATGCCAGCGCCAGGCACAAACACCAGTCTAACAGAAAGTTCCATACCAAGCATGCACGGAGGCCCACCAGGCAGATCTACACTTCTACACAGCCAATCGCACCTGACAGCTCTAGACAGAGGAACCTACGACTGACCTGAAAGTTCTGCACCAGTCCAGTAGACCAATCCAACCCACCTGACAGCTCTGTCCTAGACACACAGAACAGGTAGCTGTGTCCCCTACACTCCCCCAGAAAGCTCTGCAACAGACCAGTCTATCACAAAGCACTGCACACACCACACCTGACAGTCCACAAGAGTGCACTGCACGAGCCAAACACAGAAGCCTACCAGGAAGTTCTGCACCAAGCATGCACACCAGTCCAGAAAGCTCTGCAGAGGTCACATACACTGTCACCAGAAAGCTCTGCAGCAAGCACACATACTACCGTACCATTAGCAATGCACCGCCTCACCCCCCCACATAAAACCAGTCCATCACAAAGCTCCTCATTGGCCACACACAATAGTCCACTAGACAGATCTGCACAAGCAACAACCAACAGCCTGTGAGAAAGCTCTGTCACAAGGCATGCTCAAGAATCCAACAGGAAGCTCTGTACCAGACAGACAGGAGTCCAGCCAAAAGCTCTGCAGCACACATGTACATGAGTCCACCCAAGGGTTAGCCCAAGACACATACCAACCCACAAGAAAACTCTATGCCAGGTACACACTTCACTAAAAAACTTGACACCACCCATTCACACCAGGCACACACGCTCGTACACTAGAAAGTGACACACCGGGCATGCACACCCTCCCCCAGGAAGCTCGGCACAGGCCACAGTCAAATCTCCTGAGAGCTATGAAGCAGTCGCACACATGGTCCACCACATTCTGAAACTGACACCACCATCCACCAGGAAGCTCTGAAGCAGATACACATCCCAGAAAGCTCTGCGCTGCCCAGACATTCACTAGTCCATCAGAAAGTTCTAGACCACTCAAATAAAATTTCACCAGAAAGTTTTTCACAAGACAAACACACCACTACACAGTGAGCTCTGAACAAGGCAGAGTCATCAATACATCAGAAAACTGCTCCAACCACACCCATCAGTCCACCAGAAAGCTCTGCATCAGGCATCCATGCCAGTCTACCAGAAAGTCCCGCACTAGCCATGCATACCAGTCCACAAGAAAGCCCTACAACAGGCACTCACCATTCAACCAGAAAGCTCTGATCAGCACACAGCCCACCACCTAAAAGCCTAGGATCTAAGCCACATTGGGGCAGGTGGCTGAATACCAGCTCTCAGAAATGTCTTATCAAGGATGTGCAAGCACTAACTACTTACCATGTAAAACTAATTATCAGCTTAGGATATCATATCGAGGACAGTTTTTGGTATCTGTTCACTTATATATATATTTTTTCAATTAGTACACACTTGGAATACGAGAAGCTTTGTATGGCATTTCCATTCATTCATATAATGCATTTTGGACAAATTCACCCCTCCACCATTTTCTGTATATTTAAAACTGCATCAGCCAGCTGCCACTGGCTCATGCCTGTAATTCTAGCTACTCAGGAGGGTGAGGGAGATCTGAGGATTGCAGTTCAAAGCCAGCTCAGACAGGAAAGTCCATGATACTCTTATCTCCAAATAACCACCAAAATGTAAAATGCTGGAAGTGGAGCTGTGGCTCAAATGGTAAAGCACTATTCTTGAGCAAATAAACTCAGGAACAATGCCAAGGCCCCAAGTTTAAACCCCAGTACCAGCACCAAAAGCAAAAAGAAATTTACAAAACAGCTGCACCAGTGTTATTTCCAACTGTTATTCTGGCCTTGTAATGAATCTGCAGGTCCATGCATTAAACATTTTGTGGTACTGTGTTTGAACTTAAGATCTTATACTTGCTAGGCAGACATTCAACAACCACTTGAGCAACGCTCCAACCCTTTTCTTATACTTTATTTTTCAGAGAGGGTTCTACATTTTCTTGCTCCTGACCAACTTCAGACTGCAGTCTGCCTCTCATGTAAGTAGGATTGTAGTGGGGATATACTACCACGCCTAGCATTTATTGAACTTTTCAAAACCACTCCAAATTCAAACAACACCATCTTTTATGACCTTTGCCATCAGTAAGTCCACATTCAAAATGACTTTATGAATTTTGGGAACAAAACTAAGGGCTATACACAGGGCAAGAACATACTCTACTCTTAACACCAATTAAGCACCAAAAAGCTGCAAGTGGAGCTGTGACTCAAATGATAGCATAGAGGGGACAAAGGTAAGAGTCAGTGCCCAGGCCTTGAGCTCAAATCCTAGTAATTGTGCAGACACAAAAGTATAATAAAAATTTAAAAGAACAAGAGTTTCCTTTCCCTAAAACTTGTATATAGAACATCCCATTTCTCCTATAGTTCCCAAGAAACATGGTCCCACCAACATGAAATGCAGATGTGGCTCAGGCAACAGAATCAACTATTGAAAAACTGATTTAGTTTCATTTGTCTTACCGGAAATTGGAAAATATTTTAAACTGCTGCAAGAGATAGTACTGCTGTCTCTCTGATAGCCATTCTAAAGCGGGTACGAGCTCCACGTCTTCCATGTTGACGCCTGTTTTAGTAATCTGTAAGTGTGAAGTACAAAAAGATGACATACATATTTAGGAAATTAAAGAAGCCTACATTTGGCATAGGCTTAGCTTCCTAATCAAGCTTTTTTCAACTCACCTAACACAGCTCCCAAACTTGCTATTTTCTCCTGATAGCCTCCTATGTTACACAGAGAGAAGAAAAGATACTCCATAGAGATGACTCTCTACAAATAACTATTAAAATTTTGAGTCTCAAGACTTTTATATGTTCTACAAAAGCAGTATTAGTGAACTCAGTTAGGGGGTGTGACTCAGTGGTACAATGCTTGCCCCAAAGGTATTAGGCCATCAATATATATCTATGTCAATAGCTATAGCTATATCCCTATCTATCTGTAAAGAGAAATGATGGTATATTTTAGATAGGTAGATCATTTATAAACTCAACTCAAAATGGAAATAATAGTTCATTTATAATCCCAGGGTCATTTTGACATTCAAATGCCCTTTATCAAAGAATTCTTTCTCTTCCAAAGTCCCTCCCTCGTCCAAATTAACATTTTCTTTCAGAAATAAATGCATGTCTATGTCAGCATCTACATTATGCTTTTTTTTTTCCCACTCTACTACTTGAGCCACAGCTCTACTGCTGGATTTTTGGAAGTTAACTGGAGATAAGAGTCTCATTGACTTTCTTGCCCAGACTGGTTCCAAACAACCATTCTTAGCTCTCAGCCTTCTGAGCAGCTAGGATGCCAAGTGTGAGCCTCTGGCTCTGGGCCTACTGAGATTTTTATTAATATAGACATCTCCAACTTCATTCGCCATTGCATGTTGTAGACATTTTACATCTGCACACACAGCTGTATTTCATACAGAGATGGTCCTGCCCAAGCAGGAAGGCAAGGAAAGCAGAGGAAAAATAAACACATGTCAAACAACTGATCAAAACAAATAATAGTGCAATTGTATCTTATAATAGCTATCTAAGTGCTACGTAAGAGTATACTAAAGAGATTTCTGAATGTAGCAATGAAGTTTCTGACAACATGCCAATAAAAGTAACCTTTATTATTGTTATTCTTATACCAGTAAATGCCTATGTTCAAGTTCTTCTCTTTAAAATTTACACCAGGGGCTGGGAAGGTGGCTCAGTGGTAGAGCACCTGCCTTGCGTGCCTGAGGCCCTGGGTTCTATTCCTCAGCACCACATAAGCAAAAAGAAAAAAAGCCTGAAGTGGCACTGTGGCTCAAATGGTAGAGCTCTAGCCTTGAGCTGAAGAGCTGAGGGACAGCGCCCAGGCCCAGAGTTCAGGCCCCACAACAGGACCCCCAAAAACAACAAATAAAAAAAATAAAAAGACACAATGGACACCAAATATTAATAAAGACATTCAGAAGTGAAAATGTTTCTTAAAATCTAACTGTCAAGCTGGGCAATGGTGGCTCATATCTGTAATTCTAGCTACTCAGGAGGCTGAGATCTGAGGACTGTGATTCAAAGCCAGCCTGGGAAAGTCTGTGAGACTCTTGTCTCCAATTAACTTCCAAAAAGCCAGAAATGGAGCTGTGGTACAAGTGACAGAGCACTAGCATTGAGGAAAAAAAAGCTCAGGGACAGCACCCAGGCCCTTAGCTCAAGCCCCAGTACCAACACAAAAATAAGAAAAATTAATTGTCAAACCTAAATCTGTACAGAGAAGAAAAATATCACTATTAAATTTCTACCAAGGAGATTATTAAATGTAATCTTCTCCTCAAATAATCAGGTTTGGGGGGGGGACCAAGATGGCGACGGGGCAGTAGGGAAACGCCACAGCTCTCTCCAACCAAAAAGAGAGTTCGAGTTCCAACGCTTAATCTCCCCAAGAGACCGACAACAACAAAAAGACGAACACTCAGAGAAAAACCAGAGGTG